CAGCCATGTTGGTGTGTGGCTTCTGCCTGTCCTGGAGACAGGATCTCACAGCTCACTCCCCGTTCCCCTGGCTCTCACAATCTTTCTGCCCTCTTTTCTGCAAACATTCCAGAGCTTCAGGTGTGGGAGTTGTGTTGTAAATGTACCAGTGGGGACCGGCCTCCACAACTCTGCATTCTGATGGGTGGTGGGTTTCCGCAATGGTGTCTTTATGTTGCAAAGAGAGGATTCTCCCGGAGGGGTGAGAACTATGCTTACATGTGGATTGCGTAAAGATCACCTTGCTTTTTGAGACAGGTCTTTTACCGGCCTGGAGCTTACCAAGGAGGGTAGGTTAGCTACCAGAAAGGCCTCAGGGTCCACTGCCTTGGCTTCCTGAGTGCTGGGATCAGGTGTGTGCCAGCAGGCCCAGCCTAGAATTATTTTTTAATGGGCAGTGAAGGCCAGTGAGGACGGGAAGATGTTAGTTCTCTGTACCACCCAGGGGAGCATGTAAACTAAAACAGTCCAGCCATGGTGGAAGCAGCCGGTGGGTCCTGGAAAGGCAGCCGTGGAATGCGATGGTTGGTGGCTCTAAGTGGAAGCCTCGGTGTCACAGAATCGTGAGCGTTAGTGGGTTCATTTATACCTCGCTCATTTCACTCTAATGTTTAAAATTTCCTAAGACTGAATCCCTGTCCTGAGAAATCAGAGGGAGGCTATCAACTGGGTGGGAACGGACACCCAGTTTAGGCTCATCTCTAAAGTACAGCAACCAGCCTGTGGGGCTGCTGGGAGGGGAAGGGCGGGCCCTTGAGGTAGGACCTAGCAGGAAGTGAGGCCACTCTGGGATAAACCCTTTGGGGCGTGGGCTCACACTGGCTCTCCTCACTGTGACACACTGACACCGCAGGGACGAAACAACAGAGTTGGGGGGCCAGAGACCGAAGTCTCTGAAACTGCGGACCACGTGCTCACTTCCTGCTTCTGAAGCGTTCCTCTCACCCGGTTTCCCCAGCAACACAAAGCTGACCCGCACACCAGTTCCTTCTGGTTTATTGCTGGGTATGAATGCCCAACTTGGATTTCGTTTTGGAGCCGTTCTGAGTCACATGGACTGGGTCTGGGTGTCCAAGAGCCTGCCCAGGAACAGCTCCGTATCCTGTTTCTTTTGGCACAGTGACCCCCGAGTGCCAGAGTATCCAGGCAGAAGCCCCGTGACCACTGAAAACTCACAATGCCGGGGGCTGGCCTCACTCTGCCAGGCCTGTCACCTGCTCAGACCAGGGTCCCTGCCTGCCATCTCCTCTTTTGTCTGTGGTGGGTATCTGTGTCTTTTAGTGTCACAACCACTTTAGATTAAGTGGCAATTCTCATTTTGTGCCGCTGAAGCCCTCTGTGTGAACTTGAAGAGGGATACTATTATTTTATACAAAGGACAAGAGAAGCACAGAGAAGTTAATCACTGCCTAAGGTCACACAGCTGGAATGACTAGAGCTGAACTTCTAAACCTGCCGGTCTGGCTCTGCTTTCTCACTTGCTGCCTTTCTCTCTAGGCGATCCCTCACCCTCAGACCCCTAGGCCCTCAGACCTCCCCTTCATCTCGCTCCCTGCCCCCTCCTTCCCTCTTCTTGGCGCTCCCAGCCTTTCCTCCAGAGAGCTCTCAGGCTGGCCTTGAGGAAGGTCAGCTTTCTTGGGCAGACAAAGCTTATTTCTCTGGCTCTGGTTCCTGGAGGCAGCCCTGCTCCCAGAGCCTTTAAAATTTATTTATCTAATTAAAAAATCTCTCAGCAGCCAACATGCTTGGAGAGTTCATATTTAACCAATAAGCCATCAAGCGGGCTGCTGAGTCCAGGAGCACCCCGCCTGGGCCTTGAGGGGCGGGGCGACCAGAGCAAGCATCTAGTGTCCACCGGTCCACCCGCAGAGCAGCTCTAGAGTGGGCACCCTAGGCGGGCGGGCAGCGGCAGCCTCCGCAGCCAGCTGCGTTTCCGGCCAATGAACCTGCCGCTCAAAGCCTCTTTTTTAATTAACTCTATCTCAGGCGGCCGGAGCACGTGGGCAAACTTCTGTCTACTTCGCTGCGAAGCCCAAGCACACCCCCATTGCCTGTCTAAGAATAGAATCAGGGGCTGCGGGGAGGGAGGAGGCTGGAATCTAAAAATGAATTTGAAACCGAGAGCAAAACAGCCCAGCCCAGGAGAAGGGAGAATAAGCAGCATGCGAAACTGTACAAGACGGGGAGAGAGAGAGAGAGAGAGAGAGAGAGAGAGAGAGAGAGAGAGAGAGAGAGAGAGAGAGAGAGAGAGAGAGAGAGAGAGAGAGAGAGAGAGAGAGAGAGAGAGAGGGAGGAGAGAGAGGAGAGAGGAGGGGGAGAAGAGAGGGAGAGATAGAGAATAAGAGAGGAGACAGAGGGAGACAGGAGAGATGAGGGGGGAGGGGGAAAAGAGAGGGAGGGAGGGAGAGACAGACAGACAGACAGACAGAGAGAGGGAGAGAGAGAGAGAGAGAGAGAGAGAGAGAGAGAGAGAGAGAGAGAGAGAGAGAGAGAGAGAGAGAGAGAGAGAGCCTGGCTGGCGGGGGCTGTCTGCTGCCATCCTGGTGGGACTGGCAATCAGTCCTGGCAGCCTGCCCAAGTGTCTGGCAGGGAAGGGGGTGGCGGGTGGCACTGATCATGCCAGGAGCAGCAGCTGGGGATCCCGGGGGGGAGTCGGGGCTGTCTTTTAGGCTGATTGGCTTCCCCAGACAGCAGAGGTGAGTCATGGACTTGTGGGCTGGGCTCAGGGGTGCCCCACAGTCCCAGATGTGGCTCCAAGTTTCAAGGACTCAGAAGCCTAAATGCTTCTAAACATGGGTTGACGCTAGGGCTCCAGGAGATCCTGTCACCACCAGGAAGACAAGGGGGAAGGATGGACCAGCCCTGCTCAGGGAGCAATGGCACAGCACTCTTAGCTGCTGATGACATTTCAGGGACTGAGGGTGTAAAACGCCTGTCCAGCATGCAGGAAGCCCCGGGTCCATCCTCTGCACCACACGGAACAGGTGCAGGAGGCAGGTGGGTCATCCCAGCACATTGCAGGCAGAGGCAAGAGATGGGAGGTTTTAGGTCGCACTCAGCTATGTAGCTGAGTTCAAGGCTAGCCTAGGCTACATACAGCCAACTTGGAGGCCAGCTTAGACTATATGAGAACCTGTCTCAAATAAGATAAAATAAAATAAAAATAGTGAAAAGCCGTCTCACGAGGAGCTGGGAGAGGTGGCACAAGCCTGTACCCCAGCACGCCAGAGACTGAGGCAGGGGGATGAGAATTTCAAGGTCACTTTCTGCTGCTTAACAAGTTTGAGGCCAGTCTGGACTACAAGAAGTCCTGTTTCAACCAAATATGCATGCATGCATGCATGCATACATACATACATACATATACATACACACACACACACACACATACAATAATATGTCAAAGACAATACTAATCTTGAGGCTACTCTGGTCTGCTCTGCCAGGCACTGCTGTCAGTACTGTCCTTCGAATAATTTATCTCAGCCTCACAGTGTGTTGCTGCGTTATCACCACCATTCTGCTGGTGGGGAAACTGAGGCCTAAGGTTTGGGGCAGGCTCAAGTTCACACTGGAAATAGGGCACACCAGGGTCTGGACCACTGGCAGGCTGGCCCAAATGCCTGTGATGTCTAATCCTGGTTGTCAACTTGGCCACATGTGTAATCAACTAAAACCCAAGCAGCTAGGCTTGCCTGTGAGGGTTATTCTGGTGGGGTTATTGTTGTTTGATGCTGTAACAATAAACGGCACACTTACTGAAAATAAAACTAAGTATTTATTGTAGAAATTACTCACAAGATACCAAGCAAGTAACCCAGATGAGCCCAGTAGTTTTCCCGCTGCCGAAGTGGAAGCCGAAATCAGGGAAAAGAGACCGAGACTTCCTGTGTGCTGTCTTTTATGCCTTCCCCCGTAACGCCCCCTAGCCATGCCCAAAAGTGGGCCTGGCTAGTGATGTAGTTCACCACCTGCGTACGTATACGTCTTTAGTCATGCCTAAAGTGGGTGTGGCCAACTGCTCTTTTATTACCTCATCTGTATGCGCCTCTAGTAAGTCACATGGTTAATGGCAGCATACAGGCTTCCTCCTACAGTTGTTGTTGTTTTGGGTTTTGCTTTGTTGTTGTTTGGTTTGGATCTTTTTTTTTTCCAAGACAGGGTTTCTCTGTATAACCTGGCTGTCCTGGAACTTGCTCTGTAGACCAGGCTGGCCTCAAAATCACAGAGATCCCCCTGCCTCTGCCTCCCGTGGGTCACCACCTCACAGCCTCCCTTCCTTCCTGCCTTCCTGCCTTCTTGCCTTCCTTCCTTCCTTCCTTCCTTCCTTCCTTCCTTCCTTCCTTCTTTCCTTCCTTCCTTCCTTCTTTTCTCCTTCCTTCCTTCCTTCCTCCTTCCTCCTTCCTTCCTCCTTCCTACCTTCCTTCCCTCCTCCTTCCTGCCTTCCTTCCTTCCTCCTTCCTCCTTCCTTCCTTTCTTTCTTTCTGAAACTCGCTCTGCAGACTAGGCTGGCCTCGAACTCACCAAGCTCTGCCTGCCTCTTCCCATCCCAAATCTGGGGCACACTGTCTGGTGGCAGCCCACAGAAGAGGACGCGGGAGACGGAGACTCCTGAGCGGTTCTTCGATCCTGTTGCTGTCACCAGTACTGAATCCAATGTCTTCAGGATCCCAGCGGAAGTCCAGCAGCTCTCCAGGAATCCTCCCAGACTCAAGCACCATGTGGGGACTGCTGGGACAACCAACAGGGGCAGTGGGTGGGGGGAGGAGGGGGGAGCGACTATAGGATTCTCCATGTTTCTGTTGGGAGACAGCCCTTGTTGAACTAACTACACCACCTCACCCCAGACAATAAATTGTGTGTGTGTGTGTGTGTGTGTGTGTGTGTGTGTGTGTGTGTGTGTGTGTGTGTGTTCATTCTATCACTTCTGCTCCTTTAGAGAAGCCTGACTAATACAAAGCTTCACTCCTTGGTGTCCTTGCCTGCACACTGGACAGGCTAGTGGGATGCTCAGGTGTGACACTAAACCACTGTCAGCTACGCAGACAAAGCTTCCTCCTCTCACTCTCCCCCAACTGCCCAGAGACCATCTCTGCATATGACCTGTGTCACCACTCAGAGTGAGTCCTCCAGGGGCCTCGAGTCCAGCGCTAGCCCCTCTGGGCAGCACTGCCCTTGCGCTGTTCTCTGTCTTTTCGTTTCCAGTATGCAGCTTTTCCTCCAAAGTAGTGATGCAGACTCCATGTTTTTACACCACCAAGTTCAAAGAAACGGCTGTGGATACAGCCACATCGTGCCCAGGATTTGCTTTGGAGTAACCTGGAATGGGTGCGGAGGAAGTGAGGCCAACCACAGGAAGAAAGGCTGAGAAGTTGACCATTCATGAAATAAGCAGAGGTCTAATTTCCATGCGACTTGTTCTGCATTGCTGTAAGGGGTACGTGTGCGTCACATGCTCTATACTTTGTGTTATATGACACACGCTACTCTTTGTGTGTTTGCTGTGTTTTGTAATAACCCCGAGGGTGTTGGGAGTGGACCCCAGAGCCTCGCCTATGTCAGGTAAGCAAGCACTCTCTATCACTGGTTTCACCCCAACACTCTAAAACCTTTTCTAGGGTGATGCAAAAAAGTTTAAAACTTGTTCCAAAGCAGAGGTTGGTGAGAAGTCCTACAGGCACAGTGGCTGTGAGGGCTTGTGTAAAATGCAAGTGACAGCTTGGGATGTGGACCAGGCTGTCAGGGCCATCATAGGTTGGAACCCTTCCTGGGGGCGGAGACAGTGGCTGGCTTGTCCCTCCTTAGAGCACTGCCAGGGCCTGGTCTCTCTGCTGTCATCCCATCGGGACCTCAAGGACAGGGCAAAAAGTGAACCCTGGCCTTTCTTCTTCTTTCAGTGACATCCAAGAGTGGTCCTGCCAAAACGTCCCCACCTACAATTCCAAACACATAAGGAACAAACAGGTCCGGAGCGTGGGTCCCTCACAGGCCAGCCTGCTCTGTGACGAGGACTCAGGCCTCCTTGTCAGCCCAGAGCCCAGTGCCCAGGAGGGTGACCCTCACTCAGAGAACCTCGACTGAGTGACCTGAATGCATTGGCTGGACTTCCAGCAGCACCAGAGTCACAGGCACCCACAGCCATGTCCGGATTTGTATGTGAATGCTGGGGACTTGAACTCTTAGCCTCTGAACCATCTTCTCAGCCCCTGTAAACTATTTATTCACACAGTCTTATGCCTGCAAGTTGAAATAAAAATGTTTTGGATATATTAAGTTAAATATAACCCTTGTTGCTGTTGTTGTCTTAGTAAAGACAAGGTCCCAGTAAATAACACAGACTCCCTCAAAATTGGTAACTTCCTACCTCAGTCTCCCTAGTACTGGGAGGAAATCCTGGAGATGGAAAAAAAGTAGGTGAGCAGGAACTACTGATGCAAGTATAACCAACAGGAGATGGGAGAGAGAATCTCAGGAGTAGAAGATACAATAGAAGAAATTGATATAGTGGTCAGGGAAAATGTTAAATCTACAAAATTCCTGACTCAAAATACCCAGGAAATCTGGGACCCTATGAAAAGACCAAGTCTAAGAATAATAGGAAGACAGAGAATAATAGAAGACAGAGAAGAAGCCCAGTGCAAAAGCCCAGAAAGTATCTTCAACAAATCATAGAAGAAAATTTTCCTAACCTAAAGAAGGACATGCCTATGAAAGTATAAGGAGCTTATAGAATACCTAATAGGTTGGACCAGAAAAAAAGTCCCTGCACCACATAATAATCAAAACATTAAACACACAGAACAGAGAAAGAATAAAAAAAAAAGCTGTAAAGGAAAAAGGCCAAGTAATACGTGAAGGCAGACCAATTAGAATTACACCTGACTTCTCAACAGAGATTCAAAAAGCCAGAAGGCCTGGACAGATGACTTGCAGACTGGAAGAGACCATAGATGCCATTCCAGAACACTATACCCAAGACAGGTGGTAGTGGCTCACGACTTTAATCCCAGCACTGCAGAATACTAAAACTTTCAATCACCATAGATGGAGAAAATAAGATATTCTATGACAAAGTCAAATTTAAACAGTATCTTTCCATAAGTCCAGTCCTACAAAAGGAACTAAAAGGAGAACTCCAACCTAAGAAAGTTAACTTCACCCATGAAAACACAGGCAATAAGTATTCTCACACCAGCAAAATCAAAAGAAGTGACACACACACAGTAACAACAACAACAACACTAACGACAACAAAATAACAGGAATTAACAATCACTGGTCATTCATATCAATGAACCCAGTTCCCCAATTAAAAAACACAGACTAACAGAATGGATGTGAAAGTGGGATCCACCCTTCTGTTGCACACAAGAAACACACCTCAACATCAAAGGTAGAAACTGCATCAGAGTGAAGAGTCAAAGGTTTTCCAAGCAAATGGACCCAAAAAGCAAGCTGGTGTAGCAATTTTAATATATAACAAAACAGACTTCCCAGCAAAATTAATCAAAAGAGATAGGGAAGGATACTTCATATTCATCAAAGGAAAAATCCACCAAGATGATGTCTCAGTTCTCAATTTCTATGTCCCAAAACAATTGTACCCATATTTATAAATGAAACACTACTAAAGCTTAAATAAACCCTCACACATTGATAGTAGGAGGCTTTGATACCTCTCACCAATGGGCAGACCATCCAGACAAAAACTAAACTGAGAAACACGGGAATTAACAGACACTGTGAACCAAATGGATCTAACAGGTATCTACAGAACATTTCGTCCAAACACAAAAGAATACATTTTCTTCTCAAAACCTCATAGAACTTTCTAGACTGCCCACATACTCAGTCACAAAGCAAGCCTCAACAGATGCAAGAAAATGAAATAACTCCCTGCCTCCTATAAGACCACTACAGATTAAAGCTGAATTTCAATAATAACAGAAACAATGAAAAAAACCTACAAGCTTATGGAAACTGAACAACTCTATACTGAAAGATTACTGTGTCGAAGAAACAAAGGAAGAAATTAAAGACTTCCTAAAAGTCAACGAAAATGAATGTGCAATGCACCCAACCCTATGGGACACACCACATAAGTGCTAACGGGAGAGATCGCAGTACCGAGAGCCTTCAGAGAGAGTCTGGAAAGCTCTCATTCCAGCAGTTTAACAGCACACCTGACAGCTCTAGAGCAAAAAGAAACAAATGCACCCTTCACAGTAGCCACAAATAATATCAACATCTTGGTGTAACTCTACCCAAGCAAGTGAAAGACCTGTGTGACAAGAACTTCAAGTCTTTGAAGGAAGAAATTGGAGAAAATGTCAGGAGATGGAGAGATCTCCCATGCTCACGGATCGGTAGGATAAACATAGTAAAAATGGCCGTCCTACCAAAACCAATCTACAGATCCAATGCAACCTCCATCAAAATCCCAGCACAATTCTTTACAGACCTTGAAAGAACAATACTCAACTTCATATGAAAAAAAAACAGGATAGCTATAACAAACCTGTACAATAAAAGAACTTCGAGAATTATCACCATTGCTGACTTCAAGCTCTGCTGCAGAGCTATAGTAATGAAAACAGCATGGTATCGGCACAAAAACAGACAGGCAGATCAATGGAATTGAATCGAAGGCCCAGACATAAATCCACATGCCGATGGACATCTGATTTTTGACAAGTCAAAATTATGCCATGGAAAAAAAGAAAGCATCTTCAGCAGACAGTGATGGTGTAACTGGATGTCGAAGAATGCAAATAGGTTCATGTCTATCATCCTGCACAAAACTCAAGTCCAAGTGGATGAAAAACCTAAGCATAAATCCAGTTACACTGAACCTGATAGAAGAGAGAGTGGGAAAAGCCTCGAATGCATTAGCATAGGAGACAACTTCCTGGACAGATCACCAATGCTGCAGGCACTACAATTAACAATTAATAAATGGGACCTCATGAAACTGTAGCGTTTCTGTAAGGCAAAGGTCACTATCAATAGGACAAAAATGACAGCCTACAAAATGGGAAAAGATCTTCACCAACCCCACATCTGACAGAGGACTCATTTCTAAATTACATAAAGAATTCAAGAAACTAGACATCAAAAAATCCAAATAATACAATTTAAAAATGGGGTACAGATCTAAACAGAGTTCTCAACACGAGAATCTCAAATGGCTGAGAAACACCTGAAGAAATGTTTAATATCTTCAGCCATCCGGGAAATGCAAATCAAAATGACCCTGAGATTCTGTCTTACACCTGTCAGAATGGCTAAGATCAAAACCACAAGAGAGGATGTGGAGCAAAGGGAACACTTCTCCACTGCTGGCGTGAGCACAAACTCGTACAAGTGGCTTTGGAAATCAACATGGCGGTTTCTCAGAAAATTGGGAATTGTTCTACCTCAAGGCCCAGCTGTACCACTCTTGTTCATATACCCAAGGACGCACAGTCCTACCACAAGGACACTTGCTCAGCTGTGTTCATAGCAGCATTATTCATAATAGCCAGAACCTGTAAACAACCTAGATGTCCCTCAGCTGAAGAATGGGTAGAGAAAGAAAAATGTGCATTTACACAATGGAGTATTATCCAGCTGTTAAAAAACAATGACACCATGAAATTTACAGTCAAATGGGTGAAACTAGAAAAAAAAATCCTAAGTGAGGTAGCCCAAACCCAGGAAGACAAACATGGTATGTACTCAACTCATAAGTGGATATTATCTGTAAAGTAAAGGACAACCAGGCTACAATCCACAGCCCCAAAGAAGCTGGATAACAAGGACTCAAGGGGGCCAAATGAATCTCCCTGGGAAAGGGAAATAGAAGAGATCTTTGGGATAAACTTCGGGTGGGGGGTGGGGATGGGAACATGAGGGGTCAGGTGGGGTGGGGATGGGGACATGAGGGGTCAGGTGAGGTGGGGATGGGGAGAGTACTCAAAGAGATGACTGGAAAGGGGGCATTTCCGGGCGAGGTAGAAGCCTAGGAATCTACCAGGATGACCCCAGCTAGACACCTAGCAACAGCAGATATGCAGCCTGAACTGGCTATCTCCTGTGACCAGGCAAGACTTCCAGTGGAGGGATTGGGACTCCAACCCAGCCACATAACCTTCAACCTACAGTCTGTCCTGCCTATGGGACATACTGGGTAAGTGTAGTGCAGAGATTGTGGGGGTGGACCCAACCTGGTCCACCCAACCACTGGTCCAGGATGAGACCCCTGACACTCTCTACAGTGCCAGGACCCAGAGGTTGCATGGCCCAGAGACCTAGGCTAGAAACAAAACGGAATGGGGGAAAAAAGTCAATGTAATGACATTCTGTTATGCTCATAGATTGGTGCCTAGCCCTGTTGTCACTAGAGAGGCTTCACCCAGCAACTATTGGAAACAGATGCAGAGACCCACAGCCAAACGTTAGGTTGAGCTCCGGGAAACCTGAAGAAGAGGGGGGAGACAGGATTGTAGGAGTCAGCGGTGTTGAGGACACCACAAGAAAACCCTCAGAATCAATTGACCTGGACTCACAGGGGCTCACAGAGAATGAACCAACAACCAGGGAGCCTGCATGGGCCTGACCTAGGCCGTCTGCATACGTGTTACAGCTGTGTAGCTTGGTCCTCTTGTGGGGCTCCTAACAGTGGAGCAGGGACTGTCTCTGACTCTTTGGCTGGCTTTTGGGACCCTACTCCTCATACTGGGTAGCCTTGTGGATCCTTGGAAGGAAGGTACTTAGTCTTAACTGCAACTTAATACGCGGTGTTTTGGGAGACCTGCCCTTTTCTGAATAGACATGGAGGAGCGGATGGGGTGGGGGTGGGGGCGAGGCGGAGTTGTGGGGAGGGGCTGGCAGGAAAGGAGGGAGGGGAAGCTGTGGTCAGGGTGTAAATAAAATGTGTTGAAATACAATCACATCACTTCCTACTCCCCTTTCCTCCTTCCAACCCCTCCCTCTCAATAATTGCTGGCCTTTTCTCTTTGATTATTCCTGACACACACACACACACACACACACACACACACACACACACACACACACACACACACGGTTAAATATGTAAACACAACTTGATGTGTCAGTTTAGTGTGGTTTGTGTGTATGTGAACTCATGGCTGACCACTTGGTACTGGATAGGCAATTAGGGGTTCGAAGTTCTCATTAGTTGCCCACAGTCCTTGGTCTAGGGGGTGGGGCCTACTGGGACTCCCTCCTCCTATTGGCGTTGTGTGATACGGGTCTTGTTTGGCCCACCACGTCGTTGAGGTGTCTTGTGTGTCGCCTCCCGGTCATTTCTAGGAGACACAGTCTCACATCAGACCTCCTGGTCCTCTGGCTCTTAGAGTCTTTCTGCCCTGCCTTCTACAACAGCCTTAAGTATAGTTGTGCTGTAGACATATCCGTTGGGGCTGGTCACATAACAATCCATTGATCGATGCGTTTTGCCAGTTACAACTTCTGTGATGGTTTCTACTACAAAGAGAAATTTTATTTATTGATTTTTGTTTGTTTGTTTGTTTGTTTTTGACTTGGGGTGAGGCACACTTACCTGTGGGCACAGGAATAAGTTTTAGAGCACGGCTGGAAATAATGCTGGTTTATTAGCGTGTCCGCAGCAGTGTCTCCTCTGAGATCCAAGGCCTAGCTTTCCAGTACCATGCATGCTTTCCTTCCTCCGAAGCCTCCGTCTATGTTGGGCATTACTGGGTAGGACTGGAAGCTATAGGGCTATATGCGCTAGTCCTCGGGGAGGAGACTTTCCAGTCAGATCCAACTTGTGTCTTCCTCGGAGTCCTGGGTCTGAAATGCATGCTGTCTTCAGCAATAGGAACTTACCTCAGGGAGGCAACCAGGAGCAACAGCCACAGCCTACGTGTGATTTGGAGAGATTCTTGGACTACCCTGACCAACAAACCTCGAAAGGAGGTTCCTTGGGCTTGGTACTGTTTTTGTTTGTATGTTTGTTTTGGGGGTTTTATTTGTTTGGTTGTTTTTTTTTTCCTACTAAAGTGTAACTTTAAAAGGCATTATTAAAATGATTCCATGTGCATGACTTTTTTTTTTTTAACAAGGCCACTGGAAATGCTTAGGGCCATTTTACGGACAAGGACACTGAGGGCAGAGAGTGGGCCAGCATAGGAGGCAGTTCTGGGAACATGTGACCCATAGTCACACAGGGCCCAAGCTCAGAAATGCCCTCATTGTCACCTCCTCTAAAAGCTCAGTGACTTTCCAACAGGGGTCACCACAGTTGGACTTTGCAGAGCTCCTAGCCCGTATGGGGAGAGTCTAGCTGCTGGTTATGATCTGTCACAAGCTGGAACACAAAAAGCATCCTGCATCCTAGGAGGGGCCTGCAGGGCTGGAGCCCAGGCCCCGCCCAGGCCCCACAGCCTCCTGCTTGGAGACCAGGGTCCTCCCAGAAGTGGGCTTCCTGTAGGATGTGTGTGCACTTTTCCTTGCCTTTTAATTTGCCCAAACTGGAAACAGCTCCTTGTATGTTCTAGAACACTCCATCTACCTTCTAGTAGATTCCTCATTCCTTCCTTGGGCAGTGCAAAGTGAAGCAGCCTAATTTGGCACAGTCTGTGATGGGCGGGAATATTATTAAGGCACTTAAGACATTCTTAACACCTTTGGTGAACACGTTGTCTAAAAGCCTCTCGCGCCTAATCACCTTAGCGCCATTAGAGTTGCATTAGCAGCCACCCCGAGACTTTGTACTGTGAAATATCAGCATGCTGAGAACACCGGTAAAATACAGTGTCTCAGAAAATACTACACCACCCCAGTGTGCAAGCTCAGACTGGTGGGTCCTCAGTGTACCTGCTCAGGATGGTGATTCCCAGCTCAGGATGGTGAGCTCCCAGTGTGACAGCCTAGGATGGTGAGTCCCCAGTGTGACAGCTCAGGATGGTGGCCCCCAGTGTGACAGCTCAGGATGGTGGCCCCAATGTGACAGCTCAGGTTGTCAGGCCCCAAGTCAAAGGGGACTTTCCTGAAGACTGCATCTGAGTTCCTTGGGTAAAGATAGCCTCCAGGAGATAGCTTAGGAATGGCAGAGAGTGCCGCAGTCAGCCTTGTGTGGACCCAACCTGTAGCTGTCACACTCACCACACACACGGATATTTGTAAACTAAAACACCTCTCTCTCTCCTAAGAGGCCTGGATTGGAATTCCAGCTCAGCACTTAAAAAGCTCTGTGAGCCCAGGTAGGTAGCTGACTTTGTCTCTTTGGACCTTTCATGAAAAGGCTTTCATCTGGTGACTTTAACCCTGTGTGTCCTCCATGGTGTCTCAAAGTTGGTGGAATTCAACAAGGTTTTGAGATCCCGGAGCATCTGAACCTGTCAGACACAAGGACCATGGAGCTGCGTTTCATTCGCCTTTCTTTGCTCACAACGCCCAAACAACCCCCTGCCGCCTTCCCTTCCTTTCCTCCCTGCCTCCTTCCCTTCCTTTCCTCCCGCCCTTCCTGCTTCCCACACTCCTTCTTACCTTCGTTCCCCCCCCCTCCTCTTCTGGCCTTTCTCCCAAGTAACGGAGGGTCTTGGGGCACCTTCCACCTTGGCGATAACTGATGTTATCTATAGGTCAGTAACATTTTTTCTCGAAGGGCCAGAGAGTGAAAAGCCTCTGCAGCCGCGTTACCTTCCTTTTGAATTATGTGCAGGTGTGTGCGCACGCGTGTATGCATGTGAGTGCGAGTACGCTTGGGGGCCAGAGACAGGCTTCGGATCCCCTGGAGACGGAGTCACAGGGTCTGTGAGACCCCTGACATGGGTGCTGGGAATTAAACTGGGGTCTTCTGGAAGAGTAGCCAGTGCCGTTAACGACTAAGCCACCTCTCCAGCCCTCCACTTTACTTTTCCATGAACACTTGCCACTGCATGGACTAGAAGTTAACGAAACTCTATGTGAACAGGTATGCTTCGCTACACACCAATAAAACTTTATCGACAGAAATAGGCAGGGAAGACAGAGCTGAGAGCCACGGCTATGGGGTCAGCTCTAGTCCTGCTCGTGTAGACAGATTCTAGTGTCTACCATTCCCTCATACTTAATCATCCCCACACCCTAGTGGTGGGCATTGAAGTTGTTTTTCCAGGCCTGAAGTTTCAAATGTGTTTCCAGAACCCTGGTCCAGGTGTCTGGACACTCGTGCCAGAATAGATGTGCCCCTCCCACTTGGGTGCTGGTTAATGGGTAGGGCACCAATGTCATCATGGGGTATGGAGGATGGTGTGGAGGCAGATGTACCAAACAGAAAGGACAGGAAGAGATCCATTGACCTATCTGCCTGGACAAGAACAGAGGCCATTGCAAGGTCCCCTCGAGACGTGGTGTGTAGGGAGGAAATAGGCTATAACAGTTAGTGTTAATTGCCAACTTTGTAGAACCCAGAGTCACCTGGGAGACGGGTACACCTGTGGGAGATTATTAGGACTGTATTAGCTAAGCTGGGAAAACCTGCCCACTGTGGGCGGCACATTCTCTTTATCCCGGACCAAAAGGGAGCTGGGCAGCCCGTGTTCGGCGCTCTCTGCTTTCTGACTGTGGACGTGGTGTTGCTTCCTGTCTGCAGCATCACCCCCACCCTGGCGGGCTGTGCCCTGGAGCTGTGAGCAGGGGTAAGCCTGTGCTTCCTGAGGTGTCTGTCAGTGTATTTTGTCACAGTGGCAGCAGAGTAACCAGCACAGGGGCCATGCTTCCTGGGGGACGGTGAGGAGGGTCCAGCCTGCCTCCCGTGCTCTGCCTTGACTGACTACGCCTGGCTGCATCCCGAAGAGGCAGAGGAGCAGGAAGAGCCCACTGAACTTGCAGAATCACAGACCGGGGCTGCATCTGGCCCACAGAGCTGGCTCTCCACACTTGATTTATTTTAACTTACTTTAAACTGGTTGCCAAAATTGAAATATCAGGACATTTCACATATAAATCAGGATTCTGTCTTCTTTTACACATCCAGAAGGCTGAGAAGTGCGGCTCACAGCCCCAGGAAGGGTGCAGACTCAACCAGTAAGGCCCGCACCGGAGGTCCTGCCTGTGAACCTAACCAGCCCCCTGTGAACATGGACAGCATCACGACTTAGTTTCTCCTGTAGTAATATGAAGACCAAGATCACATATTCCCTCCACCCTGGCAGCTTCCTCCCCAAGACCTCACCCACTGCATGGACTTCATACACACCAGAGTATGCCCCTCACTCCAGCTGATTCCCCAAGGAGACACTATCTTTGGTCTCAGCTGAGAGGTCTTGACCTCAGGGAGACTCTCCCAGACCTGCCAGTGTTATGCCTAGATAGCAGGAACCCCAAAAGACCACAGAGACAGAATCTCATATGTAAAAGCAAAGAGGCTTTATTCAAGCTCAAACTTGGACCGTCCACATGTCCAATGTGTTGGCATGATTGGAGAGTTTCTAGATCAATTTCAGTTTTTATCATAGCAGAGGTTGGGGTGAGGGAATTTCTAAGGTTCAGGATCCCTAATTGGCTGGCATTTGTCTAGGGGTATCTTGGTGAAAGGGGATGGGTGTGTTCTGGGTTGAGGATGATCCTATCTACAACGGTTGGAATGTTAGGTATTTCCTCCTTGGATGCAGATTGGTCCATTCCTAGGTGATGTGTGGTGATCCACTATTTTATGATTTATTAAAGTTTGCCTGAGGATCCAGAAAGGAAAGTCAGCCACAAGCTATGGAGATCAGGCGTTGGTGTACACACCTTTAATCCCAGCACTTGGGAGGCAGAGGTAGACAGATCTCAGTTCAAGGCCACACTGATCCAGTCCTAAAGAGAAACAGCTCACATAAAGATGATCACATGCCTTTAATCCCAGCCCCAGAGAGGTATATGAAAGACAAGGAACCCAGTGTCTCAGGCTGCATTCTGAGATAGTCTCTGGAATCTCTCCAGCCATGCCAATGAGAGGCAGCAGTCTGAGGCTCAGTGAAGAGCTCATGCCTGGATCAGCCCTTTCTGCCTGAGCTAGAGGTGAGAGCTTAGTGGCCTGCTGCTTTGCTGTTCTGAACTTCATCGTGAAGCTTGGACCCCAATATCTGTCTCTGGGTCTTTTATTTATTTGTGTAACAGTGGTGCCTGGGTGGTCCCAATTTGTGGTCTCTCCTGGAGGCCAGTGTTGCCTTAGGGTAAAACTGGAACTCAGGCCTACTCTCTGGCTGGTCTCTATCAAGCTTGTCAAGGCAGCAGTGAGGTCAAGCGGCAGGTGTGTACCAAGCTGCCCTGGGCCCCACGCCCAACACAAAGCAAGAACCCTCCCCTTCTACCCGCTCCCCCAGCTGCCCCCCCCCAATCTGGGCCATAATCACAGCTACCTCACTTTCTCTCTGCTCACGAATCGTTTGTTCCTTCTCCCTGAACACTCACTTGGCTCCGCAACAGCATTTGAAGAGACAGTCAGGATTTGACCCTGCATCCCTCTGGCTCCTCAAGTCTTTTCTCCCTTTGTGGTGAATATCAAACCCTTGGCATGGCCCATAGTTCTGCTTTAGCTCCAGCAGGCCTTAACACGGTGTCTCCGCCTTATCTCTCCATTATCTGAATACCCACCCTGAGGCCCATCTCCTGGGCTCAGGCAAGAAGTGTATGGACCGGAATCCAGGACCAGCGGCAAATCCCACCCATTTGTTTTATTTAATTTTTGCATTTGTGTGTGTGTGTGTGTGATACATGTTTGCCTGTGTATGGGCATGGATGGCAAGTGTGTGTGTATGTGTGTGTGTGAGTGTGTGTGCATGTGTGTATATGTGTGTGTTGTGCATGTTTGCCTGTGTGTGGGCATGGATAGAAAGTGTGTGTGTGTGTGTGTGTGTTGTGCATGTTTGCCTGTGTACAGGCATAGATGGCAAGTGGGTGAGTGTGTGTGTATGTGTGTGTGTGTTGTGTGTGTTGTGTGTGCTTACCCAGGAGTGCGGATGCACTAGGTTGATGTTGGGAGTTTTACTTGATTAATCTTTCATCTTATTCACTGAGGCAGGGTCTCTCAATCAAACCCAGAGCTTGCTGATGCGGCTAATCTCGCTGGTTAGCTTGCTCCGAGGATCCTCCATCCTCACCTTCCAAGGCCGGAATCACAAGTGGGACCCCACACCCACCCTGTGCTTGGGTAGGTTTTGAAGATCTGAACTCCAGTCCTCACATCTGCACTGCAAACACTTTAACCACCGGGCTGTCCTCCCTCCTCCCCCACCCACACATTGGATAGGTGAGGAGAACGGTGGAGACCGCAGGAGAAACCTGCCCCAGACAAGAGAGTTGATGGACCAGCCCAGACCCACTCTGTGGCCTGCGCTCTAGAACCTCCGCTGGAGTCCTCAGAACGCCCGCCCCGCCCGTTCACACGACCTGAGCAAGCCCTTCGAAGCAGCCATTCCAGTCAGGCTCTGCCGCAGACAGCCAAACGCCAGGATGCTCTTTGCCTGGCCACAGTGAGTGGCTGCCCTAAGGACCCCCCCCCACTGCTACCAAATGCGCATGCTCCTGCCCTGAAAGATGACTATCTACCTGTGTTCACTGGCGTGGAAAGCTGTGATAGTTAAGTGGGAAAAAAAGCAATCCACTAACCAGCATTCGTAGTACGGTTCTATTTTTGCTTCAATATATATTTAAACACACAGAGAGATACCCGCGTGTGCAAAGCTGCATAGAAATGAGCCTGGAAAAAAAATGCGGAGAAATGTTAAAAGTAGCGTCGCTGGGCAGTGAGATTCTGGATCCCTTCCACTCTCTTTCTCCTTATAATTTTCTGTTTTGTCTATTTTTTACCACGAGCATGTACTGCTTTTATATTTGGGGGCGGGTGGAAATTAAAAAAAAAAACACCAGCTATTTTCATTTTCAGAAATGTGCAATTCACTTTCTGTACTTAAGACAAACCATGGCCTTTCCAGAACCACAGGGTGCGGGCAAGACCTCCGCCATCTTTGCGGCTCTGCCTTCCTCATCACGGCAATACCCTTATTTATGCAACAAGAGTTATGGGGGAAGGGGGGAGCTGTGAGATGCTCCCCCCCCCATCTAAAGAGGCAAGAGGGTGATTGGGGGCGAGGAGTGGGCAGGGAGGGAGCAGATGGGCGGGTGGGAGGCGTAGGCCTGACTGTGGGGCCGAGAATGTGCCGAGCAAGGCCCGAGCAGGAGGCTCAGCCTGGTGGTTCCCACCCATCACAGTCTCTACAGGCCCAGGAGACCACTGTAAGACCGCTGGGGCAGGAGAGCTACCGTCTTGAGCAGTGCCTAACGGCAGCCTGTGCCTTACACTGAAGCCTTTCGCTTCAAGGACGAACACTAGAACCCAGGTATTTACACCCTGAAATAGCCCTTTGAGCCAGCAGCCGCTTGTTCTTACGGCTTTTGTGTCTGGGGACTCAGGGCCGTGTGGCCTGATGGTCCCAGCTCAGGGCTCCTTCTGGCGCTGCATCCCAGGTGGCAGGTGGACTGTAGCTGTCTGGAGACCGGCACCACGGTTCAAAGTCTCTTGAAAGACCCAAGTGACCTGTGAGTAGAATCAAAGAGTAGGTTACATAGTTCCAGGACACGATGGCAAAGGGTAAGGGTTTCCATCGCAAAAAGAGAGGAACGGGGAGACAGCAAGGGAAGTTCAGACCTAAGGAAAACAACCCAGGAGCTCATGCTCCACACCCTACGACTCCATGCCAGCATCCTGAGGACTGTAGAGGCACCATCCGGGTACCAGCGGCCTTGGTCGGTGACCCCACCCCACCTCGGCGCTATCACAGCTGTAGCACACGCTGTCTTCATCTTAGGCCACCTGTCCTCCATGCCTGTAGCTCTCCTCAGTGGACATCACTTGGTCCCGGCATCCCCAGCATCTCCTGAACTTTAGCTTCGCAGGCTCGCACCTGGGACCTCCTATCGGGATGCCAGCCATGCCACAGACGTCCTACCTGAGACACCGTCTACAACCTTGATGCGAAGTTTCAGTGACTCTCTAAGTCTGGGGTATTTTTGTGTGCCTGTGCAACCGGCACCCCGTGAAAGATGAGACGGCTTCCTGCTTGAGATGCAGGCTGGTCCCCTTGGACCACAGCTGCAAAAACTTCTGGGTGCCTTCACCACCAAACCAAAGAAAGCACTCACGCGGGGTTTGCCATTTGGGAGCAGAGAATCCCATGGTATCATTCTCATTTCAGGCTCTCTGTTTTCAAGTCAAAGAGGGCTACAAGCGGGAACCGTCTTTGGATAGTTTTGCCCCCATTACTTCTGTGCAGAGGACAAGGATTCCCCTCAATGCTATCTGGGTTTTTTTGTTTGTTTGTTTGTTTGTTTTCTAAAAACCAGTTATATCTGCTTCATCTGTACCCAGTCCGTCTGCCCTGTCAAAGACGCTCGCATCACTCCTGCTCCCTTCCTTACCAAACTGCTTGCTTTTCACGCCTCCCTACTTTGGACTGTCACTATAAGCCTCAAACACCCAGTGAGCGGCAGCTGCACCACAGTCTGAATGCGGTGTGGTCTCTAAATGTCCTCGGTCAAACAATTTCGCTCATCGCTTTTGAGCTCAGCCTCAGCCAGATTTTCAGGATGTGTGCAGAACACAATCACAGTCTCTGTCAGAACAGGAGTGAGTGGCCTTTGTCTCGGACCCCTGAGTATTTGTTCTCCTCCCAAAACTCCCAGACACTGTTATCCTTGTCTTCCAAACGCCCACCAGAGCAGTCATGAAGATCTGTTCGTATTTAATAGCTCTGGTCTAACACTCCAGACCCTTCCACGTTGCTCCTATGAGCCAGCTCCAAAGGCCTGTGAACCATCTGGTCAGGTGAGTTTTGGCAACAACCCCACTCCTGGTAGCAACTTTCCGCAGTAGTTGCTTTCCCCACCACATCGATCAGATGTCTGACAGAGACCGCTTAAGGGAAGGATTTCATTTTGGCTCAGGAGTTCAGGTGTGAAGTTCTCCACAGTGTTAAGGGCGTGGCAGAATTCACAGCATCAGGAAGGTGAAGCTGTTACCCTTATGTCTAGACAGACTGGAAAGCAGAGAGCAGGAAATGCTGGTGCTCAGCTCATTTGCCTTCAGACCAGGAACCCAGGCCACAGTACAGCGCTCTCCACATTCAGGGTGAGTCGTCCCCCCATGGGCGCAGCACCTCTGGAAGCATTGTCACAGACATCCCCAGGGCTGCGCCTCCTAGGTGACTCCAAATGCAATGGGGTTGACAGTGAAGGTCAACTGTCTCAGGGTCTAAGGAGGGCTGGGCCTCCTGAAGCCTAGCATTCCTGCAGCGACCAACAACATGACCCTGGGGCCCAGAAGTTCCTTGGCTGTAAAAACAGTAACAGAAAGAGACAGGCATGGTGTCAGCGACCTTGTTTTATCTGCACCCCAAGCCCACATTGGCATCTCAGACCCACAGTCCCAGCTCGGCCTGGAAAACTCTGTTTGGACGTCCCACAGTGTCCACTAACACCAGCCCTGCCCCCGTCTCCTCCCTCACAGGGTACTGCTGTGGTTGTGCGACCCCAGTGGAGCCCTGGCTGACCTGGAAATTTATAGAGATCTGCCTGCCTCTGGAGTGCTGGAATTGAAGGCGTGCACCACCACACCCTGCATTTTTCTGGTTCCTAACCCTTGTAGAGTTGCAAAACTAGGCCATAGGTGTGCTGAAGATGCCTATCCTGCTATTGCCCTTGGTACCAACTCCAGCCAGCAAGTGTCCAGGCACAGCCTATGGGCTTAAACCCTTGGTGCTTGTGCGGCTTGGGGTCTTGTTGAAAGGCCTTGGTACTCAGTGGTCCATCCTGCTGACTCACCCATTGGCAACAGTGTGTGGTGTCTGGCCCAGAGGCACCATGGATACCTGCACAGGCCTCTGGTGTACCGTCTGCACCCCCTTTCTCTTCTCTAAGGGAACATAACCTAACAGCGTCTATTCTGCTTAACCTTGTGGTTCAGCAAGGTCTAAGAAGCAGAAGAGCCGGGCGTTGGTGGCGCACGCCTTTAATCCCAGCACTCGGGAGGCAGAGGCAGGCGGATCTCTGTAAGTTCGAGACCAGCCTGGACTACCAAGCGAGTTCCAGGACAGCCTCCAAAACCACAGAGAAACCCTGTCTCGAAAAACCAAAAAAAAAAAAAAAAAAAAAAAGAAGCAGAAGAATGGGACCTTTGGCAATATTGCTGTGTTCTGCTAAGTAAGAAGGCATCACTTGACCCATGCCTTCTCCAGGAAGTGTCTGCTCATCTCCCAGCCTGGATGTGGTTCCCATGATGCCCTGGGAGAAGCAGAAGGGTGTATTGGCCCTCCTTCTCCTTCCCTTTCTCCTTCTGGCCTTCCTGCCTTCCGTTCTCTTCTTTCCTTCTTTCCCTGGCTCTCCTCTTCTGGGCCATATGTCTGCGAAGGATAATTGTGTCTCATTCACCCAGAGCTGGAGCTGGGGGCCTCAAGGAGGTATGTGGCTGTGGCCAGCTTCTTCCCAGAGGACAGAAGAGGCCTGGGTAGGCAATCCTCTGCTGGACGTCCTGGAGATCCAGAGTGTAGGTAATCACCCACACAAAGATGCAGACATGCTGCACTTTGACAAAGTAACCTGTACAACTGTCCGCAGGGTCCCTGGCAGGACCCACAAGACCGCATGGGTAGGGATAGCATGTGCTCAGTTCTCTAACTTCTTAGGCATCTTTACCAAGAGGTCTAGTGGTGAATTAAATATCAGACACCAAGTTAAATTTCACTTTCAAATAAGCAACAAGTGATTTATCTTTATAAGTATGTGTCATATATCACCCAGGAAATGTTTTCACTGAAAACAGTTCCTGGTTAACTGAAATTCATACCTGATTGGACATCGCGTGCTCTGATTGGCTGGCTCTGGCAGCCCTACACTGCAGAGAAGTCAGACAAATCTTCAAGTATACCCTAGTATCAGCTGTCTCCTGCTGTGCAACAAATTAGCATGAACCTTGCAGCTTATAGACCCTGATCTTATCATCTTAGAGATCCTGAAGTGAGGGGTCAAGGGTCAGGCCGATGAAGTTCGTTCTACAGCGTAGAGCAAGGTGGTGCCTGGGGCCATGGGCTTCCCTGACACTGAACTAACTGTAGGACTGGGAAGAATCAGTCTCTAGTTTCCCTGGGTTCTTGGCAAGATGCTGTCGCTGTGGCTGTTGGCTCATCCAAGGCCACCGAGGGACGGGAGATACTGGGCACGTGTGTAGCAGGATCTTACAGACATGCCGTGTAGCATTGCTCCATTCAGCTGACCCCTGAGGAGCAAGCCCCGGGTCACTTGACCACGGGAGAGGCATCTGACTGGTAGGATACAGGGCTTTGGTGTCTGTCTTCCCCAGAGCCATGTCTCACCTCTTCACCTTTGCCTGCTCAGTCAGCCAGAAGCGGCGCCTTCCGTTGCCCAAGAGCAGCCTCCCTCCCTGTTCATCTGCAGGAAGAGCGCGGCTTCTGAGATGTTCTCACTCTGACTCAGGCAGCGTCTGCTTCTGCTGCCTCTGTCCTCCTCCCTGGTGAACTAGTGTTCTACAACACTCTGCAGGTGGTACCTGGGGCATGAAGGGGGCGGGGTATTTTCAGAGTCCCTCAGCCCACAGTGACACATGCCGACCTGACCCCATGTACCCCGGGCTGTATTCCTGAGTCGGGAAGGGGTGGTTCGCACAGATGCTAGGCTGCCCTTTGTCTGTGATGAACAACTGACCTTGCCTATCATTCGTGTGCACTCTGTCTCACCACGCTCCCTGAGTTCACTTCCTGCAGCCTGAGGTCTGTCTCACCACGCTCCCTGAGTTCACTTCCTGCAGCCTGAGGTCTGTCTCACCACGCTCCCTGAGTTCACTTCCTGCAGCCTGAGGTCTGTCTCACCACGCTCCCTGAGTTCACTTCCTGCAGCCTGAGGTCTGTCTCACCACGCTCCCTATGTTATTCCTGCAGCCTGAGGTCTGTCTCACCACGCTCCCTGAGTTCACTTCCTGCAGCCCGAGGTCTGTCTCACCATGCTCCCTGTGTTATTCCTGCAGCCTGAGGTCTGTCTCACCACGCTCCATGTGTTATTCCTGCAGCCCGAGGTCTGTCTCACCATGCTCCCTGTGTTATTCCTGCAGCCTGAGGTCTGTCTCACCACGCTCCATGTGTTATTTCTGCAGCCTGAGGTCTGTCTCACCATGCTCCCTGAGTTCACTTCCTGCAGCCTGAGGGCCCCGGCTTCTCAAAGTCATGGCTTTCCTGTTCCTGTCACTCTCTGACATTTGGTGAGGTTTCAAAAGCGATGAAGCTGGACCATGATGCCAAGGGGTGGCCGCTGGGCTCCGCTCCTTCCCTGGGTCAAGTGGCCTTGGGTGACCAAGCTGATGAGGTGTTTCACATTTGGACTTAGGAGCAACACTGACACCATGTGCTGTGTGCATCCCAGGTATTAAAGCCCGGAGGGAGTGCTGCCTTGGACTGGGAGGCGGAACCTGGAAGGTGGACATAGGTGTCACAAGGCACTCGTCATGTTCATTGTATCTTTTAAATATTTGAGGTGTGTGTGTGTGTGTGTGTGTGTCTGTGTGTGTGTGTGCCCCTATGTGTGCATACCACATTTGTATGACAGTCAAGTCAAAGGATAACTTCCAGGATTCTGCTCCTCCATCATGTGGGTCCTAAGGACCTCAGGTCATCAAGCTGGCAGCAAGCTCATTTACCCGCTATACCCATCTTGCTGGTGTGTGTGTGGGTGTATGTGTGTGTGTGTGTGTACACATGGGGAGTGCATGTCCATGCATGTGCATGCAGAGGCTGAAAGAGAACACCAACTGTCCTCTTCCCCTGCTCTCTGCCTTTTCTCCTAGAAACAGGGTCTCTCATGAGATCCGGAGCTAGGCTGATGGCCAGCGAGCCACAGTGATATTGTCTCTACCTTCCATCCAGCCCTGGTGTTACAGGCTCATGTGGCTGTTCGGCTTCTGGTATGGGTGTGGGGGTCTGGTGAGGGTGTGGAGGTCTGGTGTGGGTGTGGGTGTCTGGTGTGGGTGTGGGTGTCTGGTGTGGGTGTGGGTGTCTGGTGTGGGTGTGGGGGTCTGGTGTGGGTGTGGAGGTCTGGTGTGGGTGTTCCGGCTTCTGGTATGGGTGTGGAGGTCTGGTGTGGGTGTTCTGGCTTCTGGTGTGGGTGTGGAGGTCTACACTCAGGCTCCTGTACTTGCACACAAAGCAACGTTGCCTGCTGAGCCATCTCCCCATCTCCTATGTTGTCACTTTCTCTGAGCATCACTTACCTGGGCATGCTCACTTGAAGAAAACCCACTCACCTGGCTGTGTGTGTGGGTTTCACCCTGTCCTGTATGGATGTTAGACTCAGGTAGATAATCGCACCATAAGTCAGCAGGTGGCTGCGGTGTCACCCTCACAGCAGGAGACCGCTTCGAGTCAAAGGGACAAATGCACGCACCAGCATGAACAAAACCCAAAACCGTTACAGAGAGGAGAGAAGCCAGACCCCAAGCCGTGCATACTGAGCGAGACCGCTTCGCTGAACTCTAGGGAATGAAGTCGGCTACAGTGTGACAAGAGCAGAACAGTGGTTGCTGGGAGAGCCAGGTCACAGGAGAACCCGGCCATCGAGGACACAGGAGAACCGGGCCATCAAGGACACAGCCTCGTGGAGGGAGCATCAATGCGTGGGCTCATTCTGCGATGGTGAGTTCATGGGCGTGTGCCTACATCAGAGCAGATTGGGAGCAAGGGGAAAGGAGACAGATGTCAGGAGGACCCCAGGTCTGTGGACCCAGGGACACGGGGATAGGGTTAGCCTGTGAAGAGGCACATGTCCATTGGCAACTCTTATAAAGGAAAGCATTTAATTGGGGCTGGGTTACAGTTTCAGAGATGAAGTCCATTATCATCATGACAAGAATCATGGCAGCATGCAGGCAGACACGGTGCTAGTGAGGTAGTCTATGTCCCCCATAGACTCACTGTTCGGATGCTTGACACACAGGGAGAGGCACCATTGAGAGGTGTGGTCGTGTGGGAGGAAGTGTGCCACTGTGGAGGTGAGTCTGAGGCCCCACATGCTCAAGCTACACCCCGTGTGGCACACAGTCTCTCCCTGCTGCCTGCAGATCAAGATGTGGAAATCTCAGCTCCTTCTCCAGCACCGTGGCTGCCTGCATGCCGCCATGCTTCCTGCAATGCTGATAATGAACTGAACCTCTGAAACCATAAGACAGCCCCAATTAAATGCTTTCCTTTATAAGAGTTACCGAGGTCATGTCTCTTCACAGAAATAGAAACCCTAAGACAACGTACATGCAGTAGATACATGTACACCACACATATGACACACCACACACAGCACTCAAAACCCACATGCATACCATAATATAACACACACACAATACCAATAATTCACATACATGTAACACATACACATACAAAAACATATAAACTACAAAAAAAACAGGCTACATGTACACAGACACAGAGTGTATAGCATGGAAACATACAGCACATTACCTAGTCACATATAAACACAGGGTGACATGCTTAGCATACACACATACCACACACACTGCAATCAGAGATACATGTGGCGTATACATCTGTATCCATGAGCACGTGCCCACAAATGTCCGTGTGCATAGAAAACACGCACAGCACATGTGAAGAAACAGACACAGGTCTGCACACGTGAGTCTGGTGGTGGCGTTTGTCAGGAAGGTGTGTAAAATGATACTCAGGGTCTAAAAACAATTACACAAACAACCAGCAAGGCCAGGATTAGCTATGGGATGGTTTTAGCGTGGAGATTGGGTACAGCTTGCTCTGAGCGTCCTGGTTTCCTTGGAGACACTGGCCACACATTAGCTGTCTTAGGCCAAAAATAAAAGATGTGTGTGTGAGAGAGAAGCCACGGGACGTTGCTGCGACCACTGCTATAACACTTGTCATTTGCCAAGCAGACCTGGGTCTCTCCTCTGGACACCAAGTGCAGGCACGAGGAGCCCTTGGGTGCAATGAGAGCTATGAATGTATAACCCAGCCGTGCCTGCTGAAATCCTGGGTGAGGATTCCTGACTGAGGGGGCCTGGTGGCAGGGGCCAGCAGGTTACTGAGCCATCTCAGGTCCCAGACAGTTGCCGTATGTGCTTAGCAAAGGGGAGAACTCGCCCAGCTGAAGGACACCGGGGGTCGTCACAGGGCAAATGTCTGGGATACGGGAGCCACTTTGTCCATGGTTAGTACATGGTGGCTGCAGACCCACGCAGAGACTCCTCCCTGCCCTCACGCTGGCTGTGTGCAGGGAGGCCCGAGAAAGCCTGCCCCCGCTCACCTGCCCACCACACCTGTCTGCTTCTTCAGTAACCCAGCAGCCCAGGCACCTGTCACTCTGGCACAGGGCTCAACGAGTTGTGGGTGTCTTTTTTTTTGGCTTTTCGAGACAGGGTTTCTCTGTATTGTTTTGGAGGCTGTCCTGGAACTCGCTCTGTAGACCAGGCTGGCCTCCAACTCACAGAGATCCACCTGCCTCTGCCTCCCGAGTGCTGGGATTAAAGGCGCACGCCACCACGGCCTGGCTATGGGTGCCTTACACACACTCACTGCAGGCACAGCATAGAAGAGCTGTAGCTTTCAGCAGCTTCTGAAGAACATCCGCTGACCCAGATGTCCACCAGAGCCTTCCGGAAGCTCTTTACGTCCCAGGTCCAGGCTGCACCCTTAATCAATGAAGTAAGACTCTCTGCTGCTGGACCTGGGCACCAGGCATGGTGATGCCTGTGCGTAGTCACGTGGGCCCTGTGGGTCTAGCCGGAGAATGCACAAGCTTCCCTTAAAGGACTAGGGAAGAGAGACATTTTAGTTTCTGTGGGTTGAGAAGTCTTTATTGCGCTGCCCCTCTCCACCACGGAGAAGCTAAAGCTGGAGCTGGACGGCTGGGAATCATAGAAGTGTCGAACCTGGGTGTCTATGGGGCAGAGGAGGGGGAGATGCTGTTGAGAGGCAGGGGGATGTGAGTTTTGTGCAAAGCAGACCTGTGTTGGCAGTGACGGGCCATGAACACGTAAGTTGGAAGGGACAACAGAGACTTAGAAGCTGTCGATGTTCAATCACACAGTGGCAATGGGATGTCCCATGGCTGAAATAACGAGACAAGAAACCCTGTGGTCGGCTCTGGGGAGAGCACCTGCCCTCCTGGCCAAGGGAGCCAGCGGCTCTCAAAGGCCCAAAGTCAGGCCCAGCTCTGATGGTAGGGGACTCACGTGTGGCTGTCTGGACGGACCCTGATTCCAGTTTCTCTTGTTTTATAATTAGATGGTCCCAGCACCCACGGTGGGCTGGTTTCCTGGGATAGGTCCCACCCAACCCAGGTCCTGTTCCTCATCATATCACCACTGGAATCACAAATGGCTCATCTCTGACACCAAGGGACCCTGACGAGGAGTTAGTGGGAGACTGGCCTCAGAGCAGGGCCAGACTCAGATGCCAGATCCAGGCTCCTTCTGTAACTTCACAGTGCCGTGCTCAAGGCTGGCAATGGCAACAGAGGGGACCCTCCTGAAGGGGAAGGGGCTTTGGGAAGACAATTACCTAACCCAACTTCTTGTCTGGATTCAGTTTTCAGCACATGATGGAATGACTGTATCCGGAGGTGATGTGGTCCTCAGTGTATACCTGTGAGGTGGTTTAATGAGGGCAGCCCCCATGGACGTGTATATCTGAATGCTTGGTTCCCAGTTGGCAGAATGTTTCTGGGGATGATTAGGGGTGTAGCGTTGTTGGAGATGTGCCACTGAGGGTAGGGTTCAAAGTCCATGCAGCCCCCCCCTCTAATTCTATCCCTCCTTGGCCATGGTGTTTTTGTCATGGCAACAAAAAAGTAACTAGGGCTGGAGAGATGGGTGCTCTTCCAGAGAACCTGGGGTTCCATTCCCAGCACCCACATCATAGCTCACAACTGAGACTCCAGTTCTAGGGAATCTGACAGATGTGCATACAGACAAAACACCAATGCACATGAAATAAAAATTTTTAAAAAATCATTGAGAGAGGGAAAGAGAGGAAGGAAGGAAAAAGAAAGAAAGAGAAAGAGAGAGAGAAAGAAGGAAGGAAAGAAAGAAAGAAAGAAAGAAAGAAAGAAAGAAAGAAAGAAAGAAAGAAAGAAAGAAAGAAAGCTAACATGGTAAGACTTAGTCATACCCCCTATGGGTACCCTGGAGTTACACTGTCCCTATGGGTACCCTGGAGTTACACTGTCCCTGTGGGGCCCTGGAGTTACACTGTCCCTGTGGGGCCCTGGAGTTACACTGTCCCTGTGGGGCCCTGGAGTTACACTGTCCCTGTGGGGCCCTGGAGTTACACTGTCCCTGTGGGGCCCTGGAGTTACACTGTCCCTGTGGGGCCCTGGAGTTACACTGTCCCTGTGGGACCCTGGAGTTATATGGGGTCCTGGTGAATCTTGTCAACTTGGTGGGATGTAGAATCACCCCATGCCTCAGTAAGGATCTCTGTTGCTGTGGTGCACGCCATGAAGAAAGCCCTTCCCATGGGAGGAAAGGGTTTATTTCATCTTACAATATGTAGTGCATCACTGCTGGATTTGGAGCAGGAACCTGGAGGAACCCTGCACACTGACTTGCTCTCAATGGCTTGCTCAGCCCACCTTCCTTTCCTTTCTTCCTTCCTTCCTTCCTTCCTTCCTTCCTTCCTTCCTTCCTTCCTTCCTTCCTTCCTGCCTGCCTCCATCCCTTCCTTCTCCTCCTTTTTTTATTCTTCTCTCATTTATTATATCCCTACTGGAACCCCCTCCCTCCTCTCCTCCCAGTCCTTCCCCCACTTCCCCATTCCCCTCCCCCAGATCCATTCCTCCCCCATGTCCCTCCAGAAAAGGGCAGGCCTCCCAGAGATATCAACAGAACACTGTTGGGGAAGTCCTGTGTATATGTCAATAAAGTACTGTCTGGCCTAGATAGGTGGGGCTAGGAGTCCAGGAGGATTCTGGGAAGGAGAAACACAGGAGAGTTCGAGATGTAACCACCATGAGGTAGGACGCCCGGAACTATTCTCCGGTAAGAGAAATACTTAGATTAACAATTATGGGGTAATTACGTAAGTCAGAGCTAGCCAGTAAGAAACAAGCAAGGCTAACAGCTTCATAATTAATATAGCCTCCTGTGTGTTTATTTGGGACTGATGTGGATCTGGAACCAGGCAGGCGGGAAGGCTCCTCTCAAGGAAAGCTTCTCTTAACAGAACACCACATACTATGTTGCAATAAGACTCATATTAAGGCTGCACGAGGCAACCCGGTAGGAGAAAAGGGTCCCAAAAGCAGGCAGCAGAGTCAGAGACAGCACCCGCTTCCACTGATAGGCGTCTCACAAGAACACCAACCTAAAAAACCTACAATATATACACAGAACCTAGGTCAGACCCACACAGGCTCCCCGATTGTCAGGTCAGCCTCTGTGACCCCCGATGAGCCCTGCTTAGCTGATTTTTCTTGTGCTGTCTTTGACCCCTCTGGCTCCTACAATCCTTCCCCACCCCGTCTTTCGTAGGATTCACTGAGCTCTGACTGACGTGTGGCTGTGGGTCTCTGTTTCTGCTCCCATCACCTTCAGCTCACATTCTCATCGTCCTCAGGATCACCAATGGGTGGCATTCCCACAGCGGGCGGGGCCCTCCCACGTCAATCATCAATCATGAAATTGCCCACGGGCCAATCTCATGGGGAAAATTTTTCAGATGACTCTAGCTTGTTTCAGGCTAACATAAAAACTTCTTTCCCACCTGGTCCCACAGCTGCTTCAGCCCCAAATAAACACAACCAGACACTGTATTCATTATTAAACTGTTGGCCAGTGACTAGGACTTCTTACTGGCCAGCTCTCTCTTAATTATTAACCCATAACTAGTATTTCCACATAGCCTTATCTTACCAGAGAATGCCAGCACAACCTCTCTTCCTCCTCTCTCCCTGGCTGCTTCTCTCTGTCCTCTCCCCGGAATTCCCCTTGTCTCATAGCCCCACCTCTACCTCCTGCCTGGCCAGTGGCCAATCAGTGTTTCATTCACCAACCAATAAGAAAAACATATATACAGAAGGAAGGACATACCCCATCAC